TGTGTGTGTGTGTGTGTGTGTGTGTGAGTGTAATACAAAGACACGTATAGATACATGCATATTCATGGTTAAACGCAGGATCATTTGAACACACACACACACACACACACACACACACACACACACACACACACACACACACACACACACACAATGATACACAAATACATTACATCATAGACAAGTACGATTCCTGAAATCCAACAATATTTATAGTACAATAAAATCCTTGATTCTTCTATACCATTATTATCTATCATGTTACTCCAAACTTAATTAAGTAATGCTTAGGGTACTATTGTTACAAACACGTAGCGTATAATTATCTTGATTAAAAGACGAAGTGAAATGAATAAAGATACATTGGAAGTTATATTTAAGTTTTCCCTTTAATCTTAGTATTCAATTATGGTTTGATCATTTTCTGAAAGTTAAAAGAAATTAAAAAAGAAAGAAAGAAAAGAAAAAAAAAAACATGAAAACTTGAACGTAGATTAGTAAATCGGTCAAATTATCAATGTTTGTTGATTTTGTTGTTTACATAAATAGATTTTTGTCTTTCTTTCTATTTCTTCTTCGTCTCCTTTTTTCGTCTTTTCCTTTTTTTCTCCTCCTCTTCTTCCTCTTCTTATCCTTCTTCTTTTTTTCATTCGCATTTCCCTTCCTTGTAATTCACAAATATCCTTTTTGAAATAATGATAGTAATAATGTTAATAATATAATAACAATATAATAAAAATAATAATAATAATAATAATAATAATAATAATAATAATAATAATAATAATAATAATAATAATAATAATAATAATAATAATAATAACAAAAATAGTAATGATAAAGATTATGATAATAATAATAATAATAATAATAATAATAACAATAATAATAATAATAAACAATGAAAAAATCGCATCCACTTTTCTCCAAAAGACGTAAACAGTGCTAATATCCAACTCACGTAAGACCCATTTTCCTATCGAATTACAACGGTCGCCGCGCCCATACCTGCGCGCCGCCCACCCCGTCTTCACCTCCCGCCCGTAAGGAGATCAAGGTCAGTTTTCGGCGCCCGCCCTGCGCCTTTCTCTCTCAATGGGCGCCGTTTGTTTGTTTGTTTTAGTTTTTTCGTTTGTTTTCAATTAATTTTTGTTTGTTTGTTTTTTAGTTTTTTTTCTAATTATTAGGTTTGAAATAAACTAACTCTCTAAAATTAGATAGACTAATTAATTTGTTTGTTTGTTTTGTTTTAATTAAGTAAACTAAACTCTCTCTCTCTCTCTCTTTCACTTTCTTTCTCTCTCTCTTTCTTTCTCTCTCTCTGTCTCTCCCTCCTTTTCTCTCCCCCCCCCCTCTCTTCTCTCTCTCTCTCTCTCTCTCCTCTCTCTCTCTCTCTCTCTCTCTCTCTCTCTCTCTCTCTCTCTCTCTCCTCTCTCTCTCTCTCTCTCTCTCTCTCTTCTCTCTCACTCACACACACACACACACGTGTCAATATCTTGTTTAATAATATGATGTTCAATGTGTGTGTAATATATATTTTTGGGAGTGAAGTCGAGTTGCTATATTTTTTTTGCCTGTTTCTTACTTTCCTCTCCGTCTTCCGTCAGCATAAGCTTCCTTTTCCTCTCTCATTTTCAGCAAAATATTCTTTTTTTCTGTTATATCAGTTTTGAAATACAGTAGACTTTTTAAATTTCAGAAAAGACTGGGAATATATATATATATATATATATATATATATCTCTCGCTCCTTTTTGGTTCACATCCCTCTCCTCAGCCAGCCAAACTACCATCCCAATTCCCTCTATAAATTCTCCATTTTCTTTATAAAATACGAAATCTCGGGACTTTTGATACCGACATTATGCAACAGACGGCTTTCTAACCCTTTGAATCATTCGCGGACGAGGTCTTTTGTGCGAAAGCGACTCAGCACGTGCGAAATCCGGGATACAAGGCACGTGGGACTTTGAGCAAAAGCAAAAAGAATTTCAGATCCTGGCTGTGCGAATCTGACCGTGGCGTTTCTGCAACACTCCGGGAGCTTCGACTATTTGTGTTGGAGGAGACACAATAGCTCTCCTTGTACTGACATTGTGTTCGTAAGATGGAGGGATCTGTCTATCTATTTTGTGCTTATATATGTGTATTTTTTGTGTGTTGGGGTGTGTGGGGGTGTTATGTGTGTATATGTGTGTGTGTGTATGTGTGTGTGTGTGTGTGTACACTTATCTGGGAGTGTGTGTGACACGGTTTATCTTGGATATTCAAGTAAAACAAAATGTGTTTATATTTAGGGAGAATGTATTTAGAGACATAGAATAATTGATAATGATAAAAAATCAAGAATCTAGAAAGGCTTTTTATCTTTACCTCAAGACCTGACATATATATATATATATATATATATATATGTGTGTGTGTGTGTGTGTGTGTGTGTGTGTGTGTGTGTGTGTGTGTGTGTGTGTGTGTGTGTGTGTGTGTGTGTGTGTGTGTGTGTGTGTGTGTGTGTGTGTGTGTGTATGTGTGTGTGTGTGTGTGTGTGTGTGTGTGTGTGTGTGTTATGTGTGTGTGTGTGTGTGTGTGTGTGTGTGTGTTGTGTGTGTGTGTGTGTGTGTATACATATATGTATCCATCTAAAATTATCTATCTACACGAAAATATCGACCTTTACTGATACATACTTTGTGCATAAAATATTATATAGGAGAGAAAGAGAAAGCAAATGAAAGCGAAAGAGACAGAGAATAAGAAGAGAGAGAGAGAAGAAAAAAAAAAATAACACAAGAGAGGCTGAATGAAACCTGATATATAATCCTGGAACACTGCAGCTGACGCAAAAATGTTCTAGAATAACAACAACAGAAATTCAACAAGCCGCTGTATAAAAAATAAAACAACAGCAACAATAACGAGACAGAAAAAGGACAGGATTCTATCTACTAACTTTGTTTCCAAGAGCCAGACAAAAAAGAAAAAAAGAAAAACATATATACATATATGTGTATATATGTGTGTGTGTGTGTGTGTGTGTGTGTGTGTGTGTGTGTGTGTGTGTGTGTGTGTGTGTGTGTGTGTGTGTTGTGTGCGGTGTGTGTGTGTGTGTGTGTGTGTGTGTGTGTGTGTGTGTGTTGTTTTTATTAAACGAGACAGAAATAACACAAGATTCCATCATTTA